GATACCCTGCTCGCCACCCGTGGACGTCCCGGGTGGGGTTCGCCCATTCCACTCTCCAGCACCTTCGAGCCGAGCCCTATGGAGCTCGGGGGTGCTGGCGCTAGAGAACGGAGGAGTAGGAACCCGAGGGGGGCCGTTCCCTGCACTAACTGTGGCCGTGGAGGGCACACCGCGGCTAGGTGTTGGGGAGGGTCCCCCGGTGGAGGAGAAGGCAGGTCACGCATTGGGGGGTCCCCCCAGGTGAGTAGGCGCCCTACTCACCCAGAGCTTTCTGTCGTTCACCTAACCTTGCCTGTTTGTTTTCCACAGGTTGCACCTCGTTCCCAGCATAAGGCGCTGGTAGATTCAGGCGCAGCTGGGAATTTTGTAGATCGCCAGTTTTGTATAGAGTTAGGGATTCCCCTCCTTCCAGTTGATAAGCCTTTCCCTGTTCATGCCCTAGATAGCCGTCCGTTAGGGTCTGGGTTGATTAGGGAGGTCACAGCACCCCTTCAAATGATGGCGCAGGAGGGTCATGAGGAGACGATTCAGCTCTATCTGATTGACTCTCCTGCGTATCCGGTAGTGCTGGGCCTTCCCTGGTTGATGACCCATGACCCTACTATTATGTGGCGAGAGAAAGCTCTTAAAGGGTGGTCTGCCCAGTGTGAGGGGCGGTGTCTGGGTGTTTCCATAGGGGCGACCTCGGTGGAAAGTCTGAATCTAATGACAGCACTGCATATTCCCCCCGAGTATGAGGATTTGAAACTGGTGTTTAGTAAAACTAGGGCGGCGCAGCTGCCGCCTCATAGACGGGGGGATTGTGCGATAGATCTCCAGTCAGGAGCAGCTCTCCCGCGGAGCCATGTGTATCCCTTGTCTCAAGAGGAGAGGAAGGCAATGGAGACGTACATCGCTGAGTCTCTGAAACAGGGATACATACGGGCCTCCACTTCACCCGCTTCCTCGAGTTTCTTTTTTGTGAAGAAAAAGGATGGAGGTCTGCGCCCGTGTATTGATTACCGCGGTCTCAATCAGATTACGGTGAAGTACAGCTATCCACTTCCTCTGATTGCGACTATGACGGAGTCACTGCACGGTGCGCAGTTCTTTACAAAATTGGATCTCAGGAGCGCATATAACTTGGTGCGCATTAGAAAGGGCGATGAATGGAAGACAGCGTTTAGCACGACTTCCGGACACTACGAGTATCTAGTCATGCCATATGGGTTAATGAATGCTCCCTCAGTCTTCCAATCCTTCGTCGATGAGATTTTCCGGGACATGCAGGGACAGGGAGTAGTCGTGTACATCGACGACATTCTGGTGTACAGTCCTACCCGAGCAGAGCATGTAGCCCTGGTGCGCCGAGTATTGAGGAGGCTGTTGGAGCATGACCTATATGTCAAGGCAGAGAAATGTCTGTTTTTTCAGAAGTCGGTCTCCTTTCTGGGTTACCAGTTGTCTGCGTCAGGGGTGAAGATGGAGGTAGACCGGGTGTCAGCTGTGCGTAATTGGCAGACCCCAACCACTGTGAAGGAGGTGCAACAGTTCTTGGGTTTTGCAAATTATTACCGGAGGTTTATCCGGGGTTTTGGACAGGTGGCAGCTCCCATAACGTCTCTGTTAAAGGGGGGTCCGGTGCGCTTGCGGTGGTCAGCTGAGGCGGACAGGGCTTTTGGGAGACTGAAGGACCTGTTTACCTCGGCGCCGGTGTTGGCGCATCCGGATCCCTCTTTACCTTTCCAGGTAGAGGTGGACGCGTCAGAGGCCGGTATAGGGGCCGTTCTTTCCCAACGGTCTGGCACACCACCTAAACTCCGTCCCTGTGCGTTTTATTCTAAAAAGCTCAGTCCGGCGGAGCGGAATTATGACGTAGGAGACAGGGAGCTGTTAGCCGTGGTACAGGCCCTAAAGGTGTGGCGGCATTGGCTCGAGGGGGCTCAACACCCTTTCCTCATTCTAACTGACCATCGTAACCTGGAGTACATCCGGGCAGCTAGGAGACTGAATCCTCGCCAGGCCCGCTGGACTATGTTTCTAGCCCGGTTTGTGTTTAAAATCACATACATCCCTGGGTCCCAGAACGGGAAGGCAGATGCTCTGTCTCGGCGGTATGACGCGGAGGAGAGGTCCGTTGAGCCCACACCCATACTACCAGAGTCTTGTCTGGTTGCACCGGTGGTGTGGGAGGTTGATGCCGAGATCGAGCGGGCGTTACGCACCGACCCAAGTCCTCCACAGTGTCCAGTGGGTCGGACGTACGTTCCGCTCGAGGTACGCGATCGCCTCATTTGTTGGGCTCATACGTCCCCCTCCTCTGGCCATCCGGGGATCGGCCGGACAGTGCACTGCCTTAGCACGAAGTACTGGTGGCCAACGTTAGCTAGGGATGTGAGGATTTATGTCTCCTCCTGTTCGGTGTGTGCCCAGTGTAAGGCGCCCAGACATTTGCCCAGGGGTAAGCTACAACCCCTGCCTATTCCACAACGACCCTGGTCCCACCTCTCGGTGGATTTTGTTACCGACCTTCCCCCCTCACAGGGGAATACTACCATCCTGGTCGTTGTGGATCGGTTCTCGAAGGCCTGTCGTCTCCTTCCCATGCCGGGTCTACCCACTGCCCTACAGACCGCTGAGGCTCTGTTTACCCATGTCTTCCGGCATTACGGGGTACCCAAGGATATAGTGTCTGACCGAGGCCCCCAGTTCACCTCCAGAGTGTGGAGAGCGTTTATGGAACGGTTGGGGGTTTCGGTAAGCCTTACCTCGGGTTACCACCCGGAGAGTAATGGGCAGGTTGAACGTGTTAACCAGGAGGTGGGTAGGTTTCTGAGGTCTTATTGCCAGGGCCGGCCGGAGGAGTGGGCGAGATACGTTCCGTGGGCCGAAATGGCACAGAACTCTCTCCGCCACTCCTCCACCCAACTAACCCCTTTCCAGTGTGTGTTAGGGTACCAGCCGGTTCTGGCACCTTGGCACGAGAGCCAGATCGAGGCCCCTGCGGTGGATGAATGGGTACGGCGCTCGGAGGAAACATGGAACGCTGCCCACGTACATCTGCAGCGGGCCATCCGTCGGCAGAAAACGAGCGCCGATCTCCACCGCAGTGAGGGGCCTGTGTACGCACCTGGAGATCGAGTCTGGCTCTCGACCAGAAACCTGCCCCTCCGCCTGCCCTGCCGGAAGCTGGGTCGGCGGTTTGTGGGGCCATTCAAAGTCCTGAGGAGGTTGAACGAGGTGTGTTACAGGTTAGAACTGCCTATTGACTATAGGAATATTAACCCCTCGTTCCATGTGTCTCTCCTCAGGCCGGTGGTAGCTGGTCCACTCCAGGAGTATGAGATAGAGGAGACTCCTCCGCCCCCGTTGGACATCGAGGGGGCTCCGGCGTACACCGTGAGGTCCATCCTTGATTCGAGACGCCGGATGGGGGGTCTTCAATATCTCGTGGAGTGGGAGGGGTACGGTCCGGAGGAGCGGTGCTGGGTGCCAAGGAGGGACATATTGGACCAGTCCCTGCTGACCGAGTTCCATCGGGGTCATCCTGCGCGCCCTGCTCCGCGTCGTCCGGGTCGTCCCCGAGCCCCGGGTCGGCGCACGGCTGGAGCCGCGCGTCAAGGGGGGGGTACTGTCACGGTTTCGGCCGAGGCTGCTCCTTCTCCTTGTTCGGGCAGGCTTCGGCGGTCGTCGTCTCTGGAGTACTAGCTGCCACCGTTCTATGTTTCATGTTCGTTTGGTTTTGTCTCTTTGTAACACCTGTCCCTTGTTTGTGTTTGATTGTGTTCCCTATTTAGTTTCGTGTGTTTGGGTCAGGTGTTATGCGTGATTGTTTATTGTCAGCCTGCCTCCGAGGAGTTTGTATATCTCGTTGTTGTTTTTCGAGAGTTTGCACTGCGTGCGCTTTTCTTGTTTTTTCCGCACTGTGTTTGTGCGTAATTGTTCGCGCCGCCCGGTTGGGTTGGCGACTCATTGTTCATGTGTTGGACCTTACTAAAGTCTGTTGAAGTCATCCTGGTTCCTGCGCTTGATTCCTTTCACTCATCCACACACAGCACTCTGACACTCTTCATATTTTCAAGCATGGTGGTGGCTGCATCATGTTATGAGTATGCTTGTCATCAGCAAGGACTTGGGAGTTGTTTAGGATAAAAAGAAACGGAATAGAGCTAAGCACAGGCAGAATCCTAGAAGAAAACCTGGTTCAGTCTGCTTCCCAACAGACACTGGGAGACTAATTCACCTTTCAGCAGGACAATAACCTAAAACACAAGGCCAAATATACACTGGAGTTGCTTACCAAGACGACATTGAATGTTCCTGAGTGGCCTAGTTACAGTTTTGGCTTTAAATCAGCTTGAGAATCTATGGCAAGACTTGAAAATGGCTGTATAGCAATGATCAACAACCAACTTTACAGAGGTTGAAGAATTTTAAAAAGATTAATGTGCAAATATTGTACAATCCAGGCGAGCAAAGATCTTAGGGACTTACCCAGAAAGACTCACAGCTGTAATCGCTGCCAAAGGTGATTCTAACCTGTATTGACTCCGGGGGTTGAATACTTATCTAATCAAGATATGTGAGTGTTTTATATTTTTTACCAACATCTCGTCGCCGGATGAAATGAAAATGACCTGCAATCTAGGCAATAACTGGGACAATTGTTATTTATTTTTTATTTTGACAAATGTTAGAATTTTTCTTCCACTTTGACAGAGTATTTTGTGTAGATCATTGACAAAAAATGACAATTAAATCCATTTTAATCCTACCTTGTAACACAACAAAATGTGGAAAAAGTCAAGGGGTGTGAATACTTTCTAAAGGCACTGTAGGCTGTGATGTAAGTCAAATCTTTATAATTAGGAATTCATTTAATAGGATCTCTATGGTCAAATCTGTGTGGTGTCATAATAAGCTGAAATCTTCAATGTTTCCACAAAATGATGTTTTGTGATTTTATAATGATGTGCGATTTTTTGTCAGATGCCTGCCTGGTACGATGACAGGTACAGAGATCACAGGCAATCCTGGAGACACCTGTGGACAAAGGCCTTCTCACTCTCCTCAAGCCGATGGGAGAAACTCAAGTCCAGTAACCTCTTGGCCAGAAAGACGAGGCGGGGGGCTAGTACAGCCCTCAGAGGCCTTGGGTTGGAGGGGGAGCGCAGGCAGTGGTGGAGATACCTAATGACCTGATGGACCCTTATCCGTCCAGCCAACAGAATCAACTCCTCCTTGGATATGGATGGACCTGGAGCCTGAATGATCCCCCGAGACACTGGCTGTTAAGAATAAGAATAATAATTTTAAAAAATGATTTTATAAAGATTTCTAGTTGAATGACAGGGCAAAATGTTGATTTCCACTTAAATAGACTCTCAACATTTCTGGTAAAAATTGTTATAAATTGCTGAGATGTACTCACTTTTGAGCTCAAGTACATAGTACAAATATTATGAAAAATCATATATATATTTTTCCTATTCAACAAAAGTGGGGCAATAGCGCTTGAAATGACTGAAATGCTTTTAAATATAGTAACAATCAAATTATAAATTACTTATTATAAGATTTCATATAACTGTAAAATAAATATGGTCATACCTAGTGACAGTACAATATTAGCACTATTTCATATAACCAAATATTTTTTATAACTAACCCAAGATAGACCGCAATGGGAGCAAATTAATCATAGTGGACAGAACAAGCAAGGAGGTGGGCAGAGCCAAGCGTATTCTAGCATGTATTTGCATATTTCCATTAGAGAACGCCTACTCTGAAGTGTGCATGTGCAATAACTCAATTCGCCCTTCCACTCCTAAACAACGCAATTTTTAGAAACTTTGGCAAAGGGTAAAGTCTACAAAGCTTAGTGCACTCTGTTCTTAACATATTCTAGTTTTAGGAACAGAAAACTGTATTAAGATCAAATGTTTCATCAATGATAAAATTAGCAGAATGTTGGACAAAATCCATCACGCTGTCAAAAGAACCGATGTGGATGTGGTGGAGGAGTCAGGCGCAGGACACAGAGGATTCGTCCAAAAAGACTTTACTAGTCCAAAGTGCAACAAAAACAATACACGACCTCGAAAACAAACGGAGGCGAGGGAATTACGCAACATGCGTAAAACAATAAACAAAACTAACAGAGCGCAAACACGCAGCTCCGCACGACAGGCAAACAACAACACACAATCGAACTAATACAAAACAGGGAACTTATAGGACACGTAATCAGAACACAAACAGACACAGGTGTACAAGACAGACTAAAGCAATCACACCACGAAACATACAACGGTGGCAGCTAGTACTCCGGGGACGGTGAACGCCGAAGCCTGCCCGAACCAGGAGGAGAAGCAGTCTCGGCCGAAACCGTAACAGTACCCCCCCCTTGACGCGCGGCTCCAGCCGTGCGCCGACCCCGGCCTCGGGGACGGCCAGGAGGACGCGGACCCGGGCGCGTGGGATGCCCACGGCGGAACTCAGTCAGGAGGGATGGATCGAGGATGTCCCTCCTAGGCACCCAGCACCGTTCCTCCGGACCGTACCCCTCCCACTCCACGAGATACTGGAGACCACTCATCCGGCGCCTCGAGTCCAAGATGGTCCGGACCCTGTACGCCGGGGCCCCCTCGATGTCCAAAGGGGGCGGAGGGGTCTCTCCTATCTCATCTTCTTGGAGTGGGCCAGCTACCACCGGCCTGAGAAGAGACACATGGAACGAGGGGTTAATATTTTTGTATTCAATAGGCAGTTGTAACCTGTAACACACCTCGTTCAATCTTCTCAGGACTTTGAAGGGCCCCACAAACCGCCGACCCAGCTTCCGGCAGGGCAGGCGGAGGGGCAGGTTTCGAGTCGAGAGCCAGACTCGATCTCCCGGTGCGTACACCGGTCCCTCACTGCGGTGGCGATCGGCGCTCGCCTTTTGTTGACGGATGGCCCGCTGCAGATGGACATGGGCAGCGTCCCACGTCTCCTCCGAGCGCCGAATCCACTCGTCCACCGCAGGGGCCTCGATCTGGCTCTCGTGCCACGGTGCCAGGACCGGCTGATACCCTAAAACACACTGGAAAGGTGTTAACCCAGTGGAGGAGTGGCGGAGAGAGTTCTGGGCCATCTCGGCCCAGGGGATATACCTGGACCACTCCTCCGGCCGGTCCCGGCAATAGGACCTCAAAAACCTACCCACATCCTGGTTGACTCGTTCAACCTACCCATTGCTCTCTGGGTGGTACCCCGAGGTAAGGCTCACCGAGACCCCCAAGCGTTCCATGAACGCCCCCCAGACTCTGGAGGTAAACTGGGGACCTCGGTCAGACACAATATCCTCGGGGACCCCATAGTGCCGGAACACGTGGGTAAATAGGGCCTCGGCGGTCTGTAGGGCAGTAGGGAGACCCGGCATTGGGAGGAGACGACAGGCCTTGGAAAACCGATCCACAACGACCAAAATGGTGGTATTCCCCTGGGAAGGGGGTAGGTCGGTCACAAAATCCACCGAGAGGTGGGACCATGGTCGTTGTGGAACGGGCAGGGGATGTAACTTACCCCTGGGCAAATGTCTAGGCGCCTTACACTGGGCGCACACCGAGCAGGAGGAGACATAAACCCTCACATCCTTAGCTAACGTTGGCCACCAGTATTTCACGCTAAGGCAGTGCACTGTCCGGCCAATACCTGGATGTCCAGAGGAGGGTGATGTATGAGCCCAATAAATAAGACGATCACGAACCTCGAGCGGAACGTACTTCCGCCCCACAGGACACTCGGGGGGAGTAGGGTCGGCACGCAGTGCCCGCTCGATTTCCGTATCGACCTCCCATACCACCGGAGCCACCAGACAAGACTCCGGCAGTATGGAAGTGGGCTCAATGGACCTCTCCTCTGTGTCATACCGCCGGGACAGGGCGTCTGCCTTACCGTTCTGGGTCCCTGGGATGTATGTGATCTTAAAAACAAACCGGGTCAGGAACATGTTCCACCTAGCCTGACGAGGGTTCAATCTCCTAGCTGCCCGGATGTACTCCAGGTTACGGTGATCGGTCAGAATGAGGAAAGGGTGTTGAGCCCCCTCAAGCCAATGCCTCCACACCTTTAGGGCCTGGACTACAGCTAACAGCTCCCTGTCCCCAACGTCATAATTGCGCTCCGCCGAGCTGAGTTTCTTAGAGTAGAACGCACAGGGGCGGAGCTTAGGTGGCGTGCCGGACCGTTGTGACAGGACTGCCCCAATACCGGTCTCGGACGCGTCTACCTCTACTTGGAATGGTAAAGAGAAAGAGGGATCCGGATGCGCCAGCACCGGGGCCGAGGTGAACAGGTTCTTCAGTTTGACAAATGCCCTGTCCGCCTCAGCTGACCACTGCAGACGAACCGGACCCCCCTTTAACAGGGACGTAATGGGCGCTGCAACCTGTCCAAAGCCCCGAATAAACCTCCGGTAGTAATTAGCAAAACCCAAGAACTGCTGCACCTCTTTTACAGTGGTTGGAGTTTTCCAATTACGCACGGCCGACACACGGTCTACCTCTATCTCCACACCAGACGCGGACAACCGATAACCCAAAAAGGAGACGGACTCCTGGAAGAACAGGCATTTCTCTGCCTTGACATACAAGTCATGCTCCAACAGTCTTCTCAACACTCGGCGCACCAGGGCTACATGCTCGGCTCGTGTAGAAGAGTACACTAGGATGTCGTCGATGTACACTACCACACCCTGCCCATGCATGTCCCGGAAAATCTCGTCAACAAAGGATTGGAAGACTGAAGGAGCATTCATTAGCCCGTATGGCATGACGAGATACTCGTAATGACCCGAGGTGGTGCTAAATGCCGTTTTCCATTCATCCCCCTCCCTAATGCGCACCAGATTGTACGCGCTCCTGAGATCCAACTTTGTGAAGAACTGCGCTCCGCGTAATGACTCCGTCATAGTCGCAATCAGTGGAAGAGGGTAACTGTACTTAACCGTGATCTGATTGAGACTACGGTAATCAATACACGGGCGCAAACCCCCGTCCTTCTTCTTCACAAAGAAGAAACTCGAGGAAACCGGGGAAGTGGAGGACCGTATGTATCCCTGTGCCAAGGACTCGGCTATGTAAGTCTCCATAGCCGCTGTCTCCTCTTGAGACAGGGGATACACACGGCTCCGCGGAAGAGCCGCTCCTGTTTGGAGATTTATCGCACAGTCCCCCTGTCTATGAGGTGGTAGCCGTGTTGCCCTCGTCTTGCTGAACACGAGTGCTAAGTCCTCATACTCAGGGGGAATGCGCAGTGCGGGCACTTGGTTCGGACTCTCAACCGAGGTCGCCCCTAAGGAAACACCTAGACATCTCCCTACACACTGGGCAGACCACTCCATAAGAGCCCTCTGTTGCCACGCAATGGTAGGATCATGGGTGCTTAACCAGGGAAGCCCCAACACCACGGGGTACGCAGGAGAGTCAATCAGATAAAACTGAATGATCTCCTCATGACCCCCCTGCGTCGTCATAGTAAGTGGTGCTGTGACTTCTCTGATCAGCACCGACCCCAACGGCCGGCTGTCTAAGGCGTGGACAGGAAAGGGGGCTTCTACCGGCCGAAGGGGAATTCCAAACCTATAACAAAATGCCCGATCAATAAAATTCCCAGCTGCGCCTGAATCTACTAGCGCCTTATGCTGGGAATGAGGTGCCACCTGTGGAAATCTCACAGGAATACTCATGTGACCAACAGAAAGCTCTGGGTAAGTGGGGCGCCTACTCACCTGAAATGACTCCCCAGTGCGTGACCAGTTGTCCCCTCTCCCAGGAGACCCTCCCCAGCACCTGGCCGCGGTGTGTCCTCCACGGCCACAGTTGGTGCAGGGGGTGGCCCCCCTCGGGTTCTCTCTCCTCCTCTCTCTAGCGCCAGCACCCCCGAGCTCCATGGGAATCGGCTCGGAGGTGCTGGAGGGTGGAATGGTCGGCACCCACTCGGGACGTCCGCGGGTAGCCAGCAGGGTGTCGAGACGTATGGAGATGTCCACCAACTGGTCGAATGATAGGTTGGTGTCCCTGCAGGCCAGCTCACGACGAACGTCCTCTCGTAGGCTGCACCGGTAATGGTCGATGAGGGCCCTCTCATTCCACCCCGCATCCGCCTCTAGCGTCCGGAACTCCAGTGCGAACTCCTGTGCGCTCCTCTTCCCCTGTCGGAGGTGGAACAGACGCTCCCCCGCCGCTTTCCCTTCCGGTGGGTGATCGAAGACAGCCCTGAAGCGGCGGGAGAACTCCGCGTAGGTGATGGTAGCGGCGTCTATTCCCCTCCATTCGGCGTTGGCCCACTCCAACGCCTTGCCGGATAGACAGGAGATGAGGGCGGAGACGCTCTCGTATCCCGAGGGCGCTGGGTGTATGGTAGCCAGGTAGAGTTCCACCTGCAGGAGGAACCCCTGACACCCGGCTGCAGAACCGTCATATGCCCTCGGGAGCGAGAGCCGAATGCCACTGGGTTCCGGTGCTGAGAGAGGAGGACTGGCCGTTGGTGATGGGATGGAGTAAGAAGGCGTAGGCACCTCTCCAGTCACCAACCGGCGCAGAGTGTTGGACACCTCGTCCATGGCGGCCCCAAGTTGCCGGATCATGGTGTCTTGATAGCTGATCCGCTCTTCCAGCGACTTGGGTGCCGCCGCTGCTCCTGCTGACTCCATAGTTAGGGTGTGTTGTTCTGTCAAAAGAACCGATGTGGATGTGGTGGAGGAGTCAGGTCCAGGACACAGAGGATTCGTCCAAAAAGACTTTACTAGTCCAAAGTGCAACAAAAACAATACACGACCTCGAAAACAAACGGAGGCGAGGGAATTACGCAACATGCGTAAAACAATAAACAAAACTAACAGAGCGCCAACACGCAGCTCCGCACGACAGGCAAACAACAACACACAATCTAACTAATACAAAACAGGGAACTTATAGGACACGTAATCAGAACACAAACAGACACAGGTGTACAAGACAGACTAAAGCAATCACACCACGAAACATACAACGGTGGCAGCTAGTACTCCGGGGACGGCGAACGCCGAAGCCTGCCCGAACCAGGAGGAGGAGCAGTCTCGGCCGAAACCGTGACACACGCTCCGTCTTTGGTGGTGAGTGGAAATGCCAACTGGATGCTTCAGATTTATACATCAAGTGAAACATCTGGCTCATTGTTCTTTCTTTGCTATAACTGCCAACAGATAATTTTCTCCTAAACGTCCACAGAGACCCCATTGAAATGTGTGTTGACTCGTTACAACTTCAGCTTCAAGGACTCAGTGATTTCCTCCTTCTGTGATTAAGAGAAAGTGATCTTACTAAATCATATTTTTTAACTATATTTTAATGTTGAGAGCTAAATCCGTCTGAGAATATCACAGCGAGATAAAACTAGTATTGTTGCATCCACTAGATTCTCCAGTTTAATATGCTCTATTGCAAGTGCAGCTGTGAGTTTCACAGAAACAGGAAATCGTTCCTTTGTCTGGATAGGCCAGAAAATGTGACACATCACGGCCTATGCAAATGTTGGGTCTGAAACCTGACATTTCAAGTCAGTCCCGGTGGGAGAGGAGAGCAGAGAGATGGGGCTTTCTTGCACTATAAGACATGGGACCCTACAACGTTCACAGAGCACTTTGTACACCAAAATGTCAGTCAGAACCGATCCAGAACCGCTCAAAGTCCCCCAAATACATCTAAGAGGACATGTGTTGGTGTGGACAGGTGTATATGAATGAGTACATTTGTCAGTGTGAGTTGGCGTATGCTTACCTGGACACAGGCCCCCACACTGAACTTGGCCTGTTGGCCACCAGCCAGGAAAGAGACAAACACGTGTTCCTGTCCCAGGACCCTCACCCCCAGGCTGCGGTTTAAAGACAGGAAGACCGGCCGCAGGGGGGTGGGCGTCTGGCTTTGGCCTCTCCAACTCCACCTTCTGATCCTGGCCCCCGCATCATTCAGACACTGACCTCCTGATGCGTCCAAGCTCAGCCTGGGATACAGACATAGTGACGTTACGGCCAGGACATTTTCCTGAATAAGTACACCTTTTTTATTACCAATAACCAATCACAAAGAGTGGCCCCGTCTTACCAGACATTACCGTTGCCGTGGTAACATGTGGCCCTGCCATCAGATTGGAACAGGGCCCTGATTGGCTGCCCAAGGGAGTGGTCATTGTGTACAATGCATACCCTTCCTCTTCCATCAGAGATTATGACCAGGGCCAAGAAGCCAGAGGGATAGCTGTTTGGCATGATGATAAGGATGGACGATACCCACAACAAAATATGCATTACCGATTATTACATGATCGTAGAGTTAAAATCTCCAACAATGAGTTTACTTATGTTGTGAAAGGATACAAAACCTGGGCAGAACCATCTGGGAAGACTGTGAGAAACTTGCTCCCACAGGCATAATACTTCTCCAGAAATCGTGCCCCATCCTGCCAATGCAATCCATATACAAAACGCATTTATCAGTTAAGATAACCTGTATTCATAAGTATTTTCAGGTGTTACCACCAGTGGCGTGTGTTCATGGGCCAAGGGAAGCCAGGCTTCCCAAAAATATTTGACCAATAAAAAAACATCTACAAATTATAATTGATCTTTCGTCTCTCTCTGTGTTTTCATAATTTTCCATCAATTTGCAAGTGGCTGAATCTCACCAGAGAAATCATCTGAGCGAGGGAAACAGCGCCCCTCTGTCTTAGTATGTGTAGCCCATGTATCTGATGCTGTCTGGACCTAAAGAGTATAACATGTTGCCGCCGTAGCATTTGATTGATTGATGCCAACAAGCGTTTGGCCTTCCTTGATAAAAAACTATAAAAGAACTAGCCAATCAGCGTTGAGCTGAGCTCAACTGTGGGCTGTCCTGGTGCAACAAAACGCCCCCCAAGGGAGGTCAGTTTGGATTTGGCTTCAGACCAATCAAATCACTTCCATTGCAAAACGTGATTTTCAGAAAAACTTGTCAGTTTCTGGTCTGCTTGTGTTGATGCCCTTTCCTAAGCCATGGATGGAGATGGGGATTTGGACTTGTGGTTTTGACGTAATTCTCTGTACAAGCCAATGATTATGACTGTGATTCTGATCTAACCATAAATTCATATGTTGTGCCACTGACCTGAGACAATTGAAGCTCAATATGTAGCCTAGTAGGCTCACATTAACTAGCTAGCTAACTTAGTGGCTCATTGTTGCCCATGCAAGGAAGTTAGGCTAGCAAGCATTTTAGCTAGGTAGCTTATGACAACAAAAACTAAAAGTGTACCGTATGACAGAGCCATAGACCGTTTTGACAACATGAAAGAGAGGAGGATGGCATGTTTTGTTTTACTTGCGTGAGCGCGCACACACAGAAATCAGTACCATGGACAGCCGCATGATATTTAGCAACATTGATTGGACAAAACTGTTTTTGGTATCTTTACGTTTTTCTTTTGTGTGTATATTAAACTAAGCATATATAGCCTTGTTGATTTGATGGTCTTTAAATGTTTAAGTTGAAATGGTGCTGGAATAGTGGAGGCAGTGTCTTTGTGCTGACTTGCGGTAACTCTGTGGTTCTAAATCAGCAGTTGTTTAGTAAACTGTCGAAAATATGAACTTGCTTGACCATGCTGCAGGTGATAACTGTTTGTATGCATAATTTGTACCTGATGTGGAGAAATGCCAAACTCAAATGACTCATGGTCATAAAGGGGGTCTCCATTTTCTTTTTCCAGGTCCTCCTCAATCCCAGGATGTTGTGTAACAGTCCACTGTGCCTCTTTGGCTGTACAGGTGGACAGCTGGTAGCTGATGGTCCTAGAGAGGGGTGTGTCTATGAAACAGGACAGCAGAGCAGACAGAGGTCAATGACATTTCAACTCCATCAGTTCAAAGTTAATGGAAATATATGGCTTTTAAAAAATATATATAAAAATGAACATCCTGAATGAACTTAAAGCGATTAATTGATCATTTCCACAGAAAACAGACTCATATTTAAATGTGTGTTTATAAACTGTTGCGTACTCACAGGTATCTGCAGATCGGAGGGTTGACTGTGTGTCCTGGTAGAGTCTCTCTCGCTCTTGCTCCTGCTTCTGAGGAGGAAGAGGCGGAGTTTGCTAGTGATGTGCTGGATTTCAGTCATTCTGTGTGCAGGACTCAGGAGAGATGGGCTTCACACTTTTGGAACCATTTTGTTAGTCCTAAATTCAAACTCCACCATCCGGCACACAAGGCAAGCTCAATCAAGCACACCTGATTATGCTTATGGGATTTCAGACTATTCTTCCCAATCCCAAAGCATGGAGAACAATAGAGAGTCAGACACTAAGAAAATAATAGCAGATGCAGATTATCCATTAGTAAGGATAACCAATGATCCAATAATATATAGGCAGCAAGCTGCCTTAGGGTCACCAGTTTCCTAGACAGAGAATCAGATGCACATTTGTCCCTTATTTTGACCTTTAATCCATGACCCCTCATACCTGCGCTCCTCTCTGTCCCTGGCCTGGGCCTGCAGCTCCTCCTCCTCTCTGGTTGGCTGATTGTCAGGTGGGAGTGTTGCATCATCCTCCCGATCAGGTCTCTGCAGTGCAAGCCCCCTCCCACATCTCACAAAGCTGGGAACTGGGCCACAGCACTAAGAAGATATGGGGGCGGGGGATGCGTGAGATCGTCATTAAAGGATAAAATGATCAATATGTATGGCAGCAATGACTTGGGGACGGTCATAGACATAAACATCATTTGTCCCTTTTTGCTTTTCCACCCCTTCCTCTTGTTCTGGCTGCATTCCTCCTCCTCTTCGGGTGCTGTTGCATGGGCGTGTTCTTTATTCCCATCAGGTATCAGAAAGCCACCTCCATGGTCCTCTCACAATGCTGTCGGACCAGAAGGGGTGGGGGAGGGCATTGCTTGTTCAGTAGTCACAAAAAAAATGGAAGTAGGGGTGTGTGCATGCATACAGGGGGGAGGGATAAAAATATCACCAACGTATCACTTAAAACTTACAGCTGTTATACATTTCCCATCACTATTCAGGTGTGCTTTGCACGTATTTTAAACCATAACAGTTACTAGGGTCTTGCAAATGCTGGACATCACAATGCCAGTTGAATTTTTACATTTACGTCATTTAGCAGACGCTCTTATCCAGAGCGACTTACAGGAGCAATTAGGGTTAAGTACCTTGCTTAAGGGCACATCGACAGATTTTTCACCTAGTCGGCTCGGGGATTAGAACCAGCGACCTTTCGGTTACTGGCACAACGCTCTTACCCACTAAGCTACCTGCCGAGTGGAAGAGATCTTCCTAGATAGAAGAGCTGGGTTTGAAGGGCGATCCTTTGTGACTTTTCATATTCCGATCATTAGTCCCTGGCTGACACATGGAACTAATAAACTGGACTATGAAGAGATGAGGGAGATTAGGGTGTGGTAGTGGACAGATGGGTAAAGTGTTGTACCTCTGGGAGGACATTCCTTGGGTTTGGGGCTTGGTCCTGGGACTCCCTCTTATATCTAAGAACTCCCAGAAAACCAGAAGTGGGAGGTGGTGGACAATCTAAAGACTGTACATATTCATCTTGTAGCCCCTATAGAGAAAACACATAGGGAGAGAAAATAAGTAGTCAGGGAGAGAAGGAGAACAAAACAAGACCTGTCTTAGATTGTACATTTCTCTTACATGGTTATCCATGAGCAGAATAACTTCATTGAGTTCCTGCTCTAACCTAGAAGACTCATCATCTGAAAAATAGACAAATAGACAACATAACCAATTCAGTATGACATGAGACATCGTTCATACACAGCGTTCACATGTAAATCTGTTGCCATTTCTTTAAAAAATAAATAAATAATCTGAGTGGTCTTCTTGCGACTTTGGTTTCAATTAGTGACATTGATCTCATGCATCCTGCAATAATCTCACCCACTCAATTGATCAAAGTTCAAACTAAGCCCAGAACTATACATGGAAGGATATCAAAAACTGTTCCACCTGTCGCTGTGTCTCGCACTTGCTTCTCTCCCTCATTGGGCAGAGTAGTGACATCACCATCACCGTCCATACGCCAGCCTTGATTTTGGACACCTGCAACTTCCGCCTCCATTACTTACTTTTCAGAAAAAGACAGACAGTCACAGAGGTAGACATTTACACACACGGTCATGCATATGCCTAACCAAATTCATACAATCACTGCAGTGTTGTGCCTGGTCAGACAGCATGTAGCTCAACTTGCTGATGTTGTCAGTAACCGTGGAGATGAAATGGTTGCGCAGGGCTTTCTGGACCTAATATCTAACCAGGTTGCCTGACATTACACATTCCAAAATAAGAGACAGCAATAGCATGCTCAGTCCTAGCAGGTGGGTGGATAAAAGCTAGGTGTATTATTGTTGTAATGTAGTTTATGAAAGTTAAATCAGGAAGGCTGGTCTGAATGCTCCTTTAACTTCATCAAGCAGCATAACATAATTCACTCTTTCCTATTATACGGGCATAGTGGGAATGAATACAAACGTATCATCAGCATAGCATCTCGTTCTTTTCCTCTTCCTGTTAGCCATGTGCGCACGCTTGCTGTTACCTATGGGCTCCTTTTTAGCAATTATCACTTTCCTCTCTCTCAACCAATGGGTGTAAACCTTGGGATGTATTTATATGTCAACTTACCCATGTTCTCTCACTTGCTGTGACAACCATCCACCTCTCCACCACCCCCAGCTATATTACCCTTAAGGCCCGTCATTGAAACTCCTTTCCCCCTAGCGGGGGGTTTCTATGCCAGCTGCACAGCAAAACGCTAACTGTCATTAGCATCTGACGAGGCCATACCCCAAATTATTTAATACAATTCCATATTGCATTCTGTCTCTGTTATTCATTTTGTTAAACCTGTACTCGATTGAATTGTGATTTATTCGGCCTGTATAACACCTTCACAAACTAACATTATTTTGCCTGGTTGGCCCTGTCCGGGGGTATCGTCGGACAGGGCCACAGTGTCCCCCGACCCACCCCTGTCTCAGCCTCCAGTATCTATGCTGCAATAGTCTATGTGCCGGGGGGCTAGGGTCAGTCTGTTATATCTGGTGTAATTCTCCTGTCTTATCTGGTGTCCTGTGTGAATTTAAGTATGCTCCCTCTAATTCTCTCTCTCTCCCTCCCTCCCTCCCGGAGAACCTGAGCCCTGGGACCATGCCTCAGGACTACCTGGCCTGATGACTCCTTGCTGTCCCCAGTCCATCTGGTCGTGCTGCTGCTGCAGTTTCAACTCTTCTGCCTGCGGCTATGGAACCCTGACCTGTTCACCGGACGTGCTACCTTGTCCCGGACCTGCTGTTTTCCACTCTCTTTCTGTCTCGACCTCTGAATGCTCGGCTATGAAAAGCCAACTGACATTTACTCCTGAGGTACTGACCTGTTGCACCCTCTACAACCACTGTGATTATTATTGACCCTGCTCGACGTGAACATCTTGAGAACAACAGTTATGATGTACTCTTATAATCTCACCCGGCACAGAGAAGAGGACTGGCACCCCTCGAGCTGGTCCTTGGTTTCTTCCGGCCTGTCTTCAGGGAGTTTTTCTAGTCACGTGCTTCTAATTGCATTGTTCGTTGGGGTTTATGGGTTTCTGTATAGCACTTTGTGACATCTGGATGAAAAAGGGCTTATAATAATTTGATTGTGATTTGTGGGAAAAGACCTCCTGCAGTTAGCCATTAAATTGTTTACATAGTAGGACCAATTCAGGTCCACTCTTGTCCAAATTCCGGGACTGAGCTTGACTAGGGTATAAGCAGTGGTAGGCCTCTTGCGGGTTTTCTTCTGGTTCCAGTGATTCTATAGGGCGTTTTTCCTGCACCGTGCCTACATCCTGATTACTTTTTCGGGAAAATTTACTGGTTTCGTAAGCAGGTTAGTGAATTTCTTCTGAGTAGGGAATTTAAAATACAGTTGAGGATTGGATTTTTGGGAAAAGAGCTTGGCGTTAGCTCAAAATGCAAATTCTCTAACATGTACTTCGAACTTTGCAGGTAAAAAACTTTTGTAATATACCGGTTAGCGCACACCCTTTACTGTGTATTGCACGTGGTAGGCAACCCTGTTCCGGCGTGCCGCATGTACCAGGATTTCATTAAGAAAACATGGCCCAGCCGGACAATTTGAGAATGAATCCATTCAACAAGAGTCTCCCAAACCAAACACCCCTTCCCACTCCGTTAAACCAAAACCCCATGAAGTGCCTGTGCGCTCGGCAGGGTTGCTACCTGGTTTTAACTCTGGGTTGAATGCTTTTGTGCCTGGTTGGTTGGCCTGGCGTTAGCGGGTAGGAGAAAAAAACAAAAAGCTGGGTTGGTGATTAAAGAGAAAGGTCTAGGGAATTGGTATGTAAGGTTGCGAAAAGGGTTTGGGGTTGTAAAATGTAAAGGCTTTTCCACCCCGGACAGACTCTGGGCGGCTCACAATGAAAAACAGCGCGTCCAGGGTGGGCGAAAAACCCAATTATGTCTTTTGTTAAGGCATGGATTTGACAACCCCGTTTATCCACGGGGCCAGTGTGCAAAATAATAAGAAAACAGGTGATGTCCTCGGAATTAAGCGTCTGAAATGACTACACTGTATGTAAATAAAGGATTTCCATGCCAACAACACAGAGATATTGACAAACTGTGAGAACGACGGTTTGAAATGGGGTGCGTCATTTCCCGTGAGTTGGATCCCTGCCTGGTGTGGTTGCGTGCTGGTGCGGTTGTCTGCCTGGTGTGATTGTGATGGTGTGCGACCCGCTGGGTGAATGGAGACAAAAGATGCCAGTCAACTTGTTTTTACCAAGAGCCAACTACCTACGCCACCTCAAAACCCTGTCGCCCATGTAAATATGCCGTAAGGCTGCGTCACAAATCCACTTGGCAGTCCTAACCTTGAAAGGTTTGGCCTTTCAAGTGTACTGCAGACGACAGAACAGAAATCTGTCTGTCAGAAGAAAACCGACGTGTTCCCCACCAATTGTGGTTGGGGATCCATGACCCTATTTCCCTGGCTGCCTTTATATGGTGAAGGAGATTGAGGTTCTCATAGTGGATGTCATGATCTCTTTAAGAATAATGACGATGAAAACAAGGTTGCTAGTACAGATATGTAGTTCCCACCAACAAGCTGTGTTAGTAAATGTTTTGCTGCAGTAGAATAAAAACCCCTTGTCTCCATACCCGCCCCTCTTTCGAAACCTCCTTGAACGTATGGCCCAAACGGGAACGGCCTTCCAGCAATCCCTGACTCTCCCAGGTTTTATACACTTCAACAACCTGCCTCAGCCAGTGTCAAAGTCGGCGCCAAGCGGGACCGCCTACCAGCGATCCAGTTTGGCCAGCCAGTTCCTATACCCCGTATGACCAGGATGCCTTTCAACTTTACATCCAGTACATCCAGAACCAGCAGAAAGTCTGTCCTTTGCTCAGATCCATGTTCAAATCCTGCCCCCTCTCCTCCACCCAAGGCCACCCTTATATGGCCTACTAGAGTGGATACCTCCAGAACTATCTTTCTCCTGCACATTACTATGGTGCCAAGGAGCAACATGATGAGTTCCAACACTTTTGGAATTCTATTGTCTCTGGGTTCCAGTACCTCTAACAGTCTGAGCGGGTAAGAAACATTTGAGTACCTTGATTTTTTAAATCAACCTAGTTGTAATTGGAGTGCTGCAAGGCACCTTACATTTATTTACACATTTTTAACTGATCCAGAAGTTTTACACAATAGTAATTTAGTTTTTCCCCCTGGCAGATCAATTTAATGCTCCCTGTTCATACAATGCCTCCAATGGCAATAAATGCAGAGGCTGAATGCAACATGAGGTCAATGTTTTTTGGGGCTCCGGTTTGCGCTGTGTAACTGGTCAAGACAGCGTGGGCTGAAAGTCATGCACTTGACAAGGATTTTTTTCTTCTCTGAAACTCAGGCGTTTTTGTTTTTTTTACCCTGGATTTCGATCATCTGACCTCACTTGTGCATACCATGATCATCTAACATAACTATCCAATTAGTCTAAAATAAATTCCCAACCATGTTGATTGACTTCAAATGAAATGTTTGCCGACAAGTATTCTCATCGCGCAGTGTCCCGTGTCGTGTGGCGCGAAAGAGGGCAACGTTTGCAGGCGATAAGGAAAATGGCGGAAGTGAATGCCAAATTTGAAATGAGAAGCTTGTAGAGTGGAGTTGGAAAAGAGGAATTCGGACAATAGTAGTGTGGAAGAATGGAATGAAAAATAAGTGTTGATAATTGAAGAGGATGAGAGTATGTCGGACAAGGATTTGTTTCTTGTTGGGATGCGATTATTATTATTTTTTTGATGAGGATGTTTATCTGGGAAATCCTATTGGTTTTAGAACAGGGTGAATCTTATGTTGGGAAAAGTTCAATTAATCAGAGTGACCAGGAGTGGGCTTGTCCTGAATAATTGTGTGTCTGAGGAACCGAGGGAGAGGGCAGTGGGCCTCACAAAAATCGACTCACCTGAAGTATCGTGCTTCGAACTCCGGATTAGGCAGCTGTTAAGGGGGGGGGGATAACCTTGCGACTGGAGTCCCAGATGTATTTAGTGCCAGTCATCTGAACCGCATTGTGAAAGGAAGAAAGTTTCTCGTTTCTATTGTTAAAAAAAAAATGATAAGCACTTTCCTACGCATGTAAAGTTGGGTTATATGAGGTGCGCACTACGCAGTGATGGCTTTTGTCCCCAAACCATAACAGTGTAAAACATTGTAAAGGATTTGACAATGTTTCAAGTGTGTGCAGACAGGTGGAGTATACAGAAGATCAGAGTGAAGAACGTCCGTGTTGCAATTGTGGTGGGGATCATGACCCAGAGTTTGTGGAGTGACCTATAAGGGTGAAGGAGGTTGAGGTGGCAAAAGTTAGGGCAGTCCATCGGCTCTCCTACGCGGAGGCAATAAAAAGAATTGAGAGAGGAAGTGAAGTTGAAGAAATGGTAGTGGATGCACCAACGTCCAGAGTTAATAGGCTTATTTGTCAACCAAGAGAACCAGACATGCTGAATGTAAATAAAGTGGATTTTGTGGCATTCATTGCAAATG